ACGACGTTCTTTGAAATTGGTTGCACAAAACTGAAAGTATAACCAAACCTCGCAAAAACCGTGGTCTTCTTTGTGCTAGTACTGGATATCAAGGTGAAACAGAAGAAAAACTGAGCTCACTATTTTTCCTTATGGATCCAGTGAAGAATTGCTTCTACAGTGTAGGGCATGATTGAAATGAAATGTGGCAAGGTTTTGTGGCTCAGTTCGAACCGGAAAGGTCGAAAGGGCTTTTAAAGGAGGATTGCACGGAAAGAACGAAGGTCGAAGAAGGGAGAAATCGCCTAGTGGGGAGAGCGGTGATCTCTTGAGGGTGCGGACAGACACGCAATTCGGCATCGAAAGATTTGACCTCGGCGATCTAGCATGGCTCAAAGTTGGCGAGTTCGGCGATCTCCGCCCACCGATCATCTGATCACTCGCCGTAGTCAATACGTGGCGAGTGATTAGATAGCTGAGAGAGCGTAGTGTTGAAGAGGGCACAGCGATGAGCAAGGAAGGGGTCCCATTTCTCGGGTTCTGGGCCGTTTTTCGTCGGGTTTCGTATATTCATGGTACCACTCACCATCCCTACCTGATTTTCCATCGTAAATTCGTCCTTTAAGTACAGCAATGTATGAGCACATCTTCAAACAATTCTTAGCATTTCCTATAGAAAATGGCCGCCTATTAACAATGCAGTTTAAACATTTTCCCCATGATATGTTTCAAGATCTCATCTCGTGTTTCTTTTTTGAAAACAGCTGATAGCGATTCACTGAATTGTGTTGTCTAGCGCACGTCTTCGGCTTCAATAGGGACCACAATAAATAATCCGCCAAATTCAGAGGTCTCGGCTTTTTAATATTGTGCTGTCCCGGAGCCTCATCAGCACCTAAATATTATATAACACAGAGAGGCACCAAAATTTATTTCAAAAGAATTCCAAAAGTTCACAAATTCAAAAATTCCAAAAAACTCAAAATTCCAAAAAACAAGAAAAATTTGAAAAAGAATTCCTTTGAAATCTTCCGCGATATTTCGGTGTATAACACCTTCTTCAGGCCTGAAATACATTGATTAGTTGGTATAATAATTTGGTGGTTTCCTACACCCATATTGATACCCACATGTGTTTGCCACAGCCAAATATAAGCTGCCCTTCACGGGAGCCGCGCCGTTGGTTATTAAATTAACTACGTGTCCAATGTCACGTAATTTTTCATATCACATGCAATGACCGTCACAGTACGTCCGCTACTATTTAAGCAGGGGTGAGCGGTAAGTCATTTCTTCTTCACTCCAACGGCGCGGCTCCCGTAAGGGCAGCTTTATCCTTGGCTGTGGCAAACACATGTGGGTATCAATATGGGTGTGGGAAACACCAAATTATTTATACCAACTATAATCAATGTATTTCAGGCCTGAAGAAGGTGTTATACACCGAAATATCGCGGAAGATTTCAAAGGAATTCTTTTTCAAATTTCTTGCTTTTTGGAACTTTTGAATTTTTTGGAATTTTTGAATTTTGTGAACTTTTGGAATTCTTTTGAAATAAAATTTTGGTGCCTCTCTGTGTTATACAATATTTCCAATCTTTGTGCAACCCAATGTCGGCAAATGTCTTCAGCATACTTTTGCAAAATTCGATTCACGAGCCGGCCAAGTCCTCGCAAGAAGATCCAATCCTTATTTGTGACGTTCTCTCCAAAATACTATCTTGGATAGCATTTGGTTCAACAATTTGCTAACTTACAGGCGAAAACCCTAAGGTGAAGAAATCACGGCTACCCAGGTTTAGTTCATTGTTGAACTAGTTGATCGTATTTGATTTGCATTGGTCTTGCTCTGGTACTTTCCTCGAAACACATAACACAGCCCATATCTCGTAGGCTGATTAGGCGGTCTATGTATTTGACGTGGCCGTCCCGCACTTGATGAAAGTCGTGTGGGAAAGCTGTTTCTAACATGCTCCGTTGGATATCAAAAAGCATGCTGGAAGCAGCTTATCCGCTCAACTTCTATCAAGTGCGGCGGCTGCCACATCAAACTTATAGAAACGCCTAATCGTACTCCGATATATGGACTGTAACCACTAGGAATATCGAAGGATTTCTTGTCGGTGCGCATACGGGCTCCCTGCCCGCGCTCTAAGCCCTCCATATTTGAAGCTGTGCTCTTCCCCTCATCGGGATAGATTGTCTGGCATTAATAAGCATGTATCCCGAGCTTTTATGAAGAATTCCTCGAATCCCTTATCCTGATACTGCAAAACCGGTGGCCTATTCTCTCATGGCTCTCTCTAAATCGCGGTTAATAAATTTTTCGACAAGATTCACAGCCATTCTTCGGATTCCGTCATTGATCGACCTTTGTGAGAATGGTTACTATATGTACTACAATTGAGAGACGTACGATGGCTTGGTGATGCTTCCTTCGGATATAGCAGATCTCAAAAAGAATCCACCCGGCAGCGCGTGAAGGTAGAAATCTCATTACATTCAGATCAGGTGGAGCCATTAATCAAATAAAAACCAAACGATTGTATCTGAAAAACAATGGCAAGTTTGGAAGTGCAGTCATGAGCCTTACTAATTATTCACTCTAACGCTAAGCGTATGCGCTGTAGTTCATTCTTGTCACCAAATTTATGCACCAACCTGTAGACCCCTGCAGAGCAATGCGCTTTCTTACCCTTTAGGCTATTTTAAACAATTTCGTTTGGATGTTTCTAAACATTTGTTTTCCTTAGCATTTTCGCTCGTAATGTAAGCCAGGTATGAAGCTTTTCCCAATAGCTCATGCTACAAAACACGCCACGTACCCGTCCGTGGCCAAAAATTGCAGAAACATTTGAAAATATGTCCTCCTTCACTGCGGCTTTTGATAATAGTTGTATTATGATGGAATTGTAAGCCACAGATGCCAGTTTGACTCAGACCGCACTTTAAATCATAGTTGTTACAAATATGACACTTCTTTGGAAGCAGCACCGATCCTTTTTACAGGAAAGTCGAGCAATGCTGCTTCTAATGGGCCGCTGGAGTAAAAAAATAGAACGATAACGTAGTTTTGGAAGGTACGATAGACTTCGAGTTTGAGTTCTATGACATATTCGGTCGCATAGTTGTATTATAGTTCTCTTTGCTTAAAACTTTGGAGAGGGCTAATCCGCTGAGATTTTAGCTCATATATGTACGCTATTATTCGACTAATGTGCGCCAAACCAATAAACAAATGCCCAGTTACTACTTCATGTGCTCCAACGACTACCTTAAGTAGAGTCATTATTGCTTTGACATACATTAATAGTCTCGCGCTGTGACTTGCAGAGGCAACTGTCTCCCATTTCTGCTAGCAATTTTATCCACTATGTTTATTTGTAGATATTCATTATTCACTGTGTTTATCCACAGATATTATTATGAGGTAATATTTCTACAACACAGTTGTAAAATATTCTAAATAAGCTGTCGAAATTGTTTAGCTTTGAATCAATGATCAAAATGATCGTCAGAAACTGTAATTCACGGAGTTATGCTATAATTCTTAAACACTTTCGCTTGCTCTCTTTGGCTCTCAGCATCATGTTGTAATCTTACTCAATTATTTTGACAATCTCAGAGCTCCGGCGTCCGTTTAGAAAACGCGTTGTGTCTCGAAAAAGCTCCAAATTTATCACTAATTTTGCGTAGTGAAGATCATACGCGATTTTCTGTTGTTTATTAAATCCGATAAA